TAAAATTTTCTAGCATTGTATAAATTCATTTTTTTTCACATCCTACATGTATTTGTATTCCTACATGTATTTATGTTTATAAATCCCAGGCTGAAGATGATCGCAAGTCCCGCTTGTCACACTGACTTTTTTTATTTCAACCAATACCTTACATAAAGATTAATTAATTGAAAGATCGAAACGTTGGCACGATAAAGAAAATGTATAATTATAATTGTTTATTGTATAATTTAAAAAATGTTTATAAATCCCAGGCCCGAAGATGATCTGAATTAAGGTCGAAACGTTGGCAAGATAAACAAAATGGTTTTCTGAAACCTACATCACACCAGACCGCATCTCACGATTTTTGCATAATTGATAAGTAATATATTATGTATGATGGACCAAGTATAAAATTTACAATACACGTTACATTTCATTAAATTTAATCAATATAGTCAATATGTATTAGTCATAGTGACGCCAAGTATCACAGAGTTCATTGAATAATCTCCAACTGGCAAAAGAATTTTTGTGTTAATACACGCTTTAGAATGTTCCTAGAACTTCACACGTTGGTTTATAATCTCCCTTACACGCAACCGCTTCAAAGCATGCAACGGGTAGTAAACGGTTAATGGACCTTTTGATTGGATGCCATCTACTCCAAACTGGGTGGGATCGATTTTGGACGTAACAAGGCATGTTTCAACGTCGAATGTTATAAATTTTGATATCGTTCGAGGAAATTTAGTATGCTTTCAACAAATCATTCTTTTGGCAGAACCCTTTGAAAATCACTTATAATTATAATGACCATTCATTAAAGCAAACGTGTTTCTCTAACGTTTGAAGTCTTAATCCGCCGGCAAAGATGTTTTCATTTTCATATGAATCGTACTGGTTTAAAAGGCAATCAAAAATAAAAATTTGGCAGAGTTTCTTTAATATAAAAAACTGGGCAAACAAAAAAATATCGTTGTATTGTGTTCGATTTTTCATGACATGTGAAATATAATTTAGTCAATTATATTTCGTGGTCCGATTGACCATATAACTTCTTTCAATTAATCTTTATCTTTATTTATCTTTACATAAGGTATTGGTTGAAATAAAAAAGCTAGTGTCACAAGCGGGATTCGAACCCATTTATTTTGTCTTTGTAAAAGAGGCGAATTTGGAGAAAACATGTTAATAATTCGGCAAATAATTCAGCAAGCTTGTTTATTAACTTTTAATTAATTAAGGTTTTTAGTTGAGATAAAAAAGCCAGTGTCACGAGCGGGTTTTGAACCCACGATCTTCGGCTAAATACGCCGCTGCTCTACCACTTGAGTATCGTGACCTCGATCCACTCGGACACCAACTTCCCATCGCAACCTTAATAATTTAATATGCCCTATTTCGTTTTGCGTTTTGCAAAAAAGTAAGTGACGAAAAAAAACACTGTTTTAAAAACTAGTTCTTTTGAAGGATAAGAAGTTCTAGAATTTATAAATGATAGATCTGTCGATAGATTTTACGTTTTTGTATATTATTAAATGTTGTATTTTTTTACTTTTGTGACCAGATTTATTGTTTGGTGCTTTAAATTCTTGAATGGCAACCTTTTACTCTTGGAGATATTGGAATGTTTTTGTGTATTTCCCAGCTTGTGCAGACTTAGACAGTTGCTGGCTACAGACTTGATTTATATGATGGAGCCTAGGGAGAAGGGTTACTTGTTCTTATTTGGTTATAGCCTATTGTGGGTCGGACACGCTGCCCATTAGGTTATTTTCAAGTTGTTCACGGTTATGCCTGTAAGCATATCCACTGGCGCAAACATAGATAAATCAACGGCAGGTCGACAACTGAGAGACGGAATTTAATGGGCCTCGTCTGGCCTCGCGTGTCATTTTGTTCTCCGTGTGGTAGAAATAAAAAAAAACATTACCCGTTTAATAATCGTACAGCCCTTTAGACTTTGGTTTAACTTGATAAATTCGGCAATTTTCGCTGCTTCATGTTTACATAATCATACTTTAGTCAGTCTTCTTAGCACATTGTATAGATTGATAGACAGACAATATAATTGATTGGTTAATAAAAGAAAGTTCAACTACAATACATCGATGAAAGATAGCAATCGAAAATATCTAAAGAATAAAAGAACAACACCAGATCTGAATATTTTTCACCATTTGGTTTTCCATTGTCACGTTTGTATGACAAATATCTAATCTCACTGAATAATCCATCATTTCAGACTAATTTTGTAAATTAACCACTTGTTTATTGAATAGGTAATTGTGACGGAAGCGTGTCAGCTATTAAAATGTTTGGAAATTCGACCCCGTGGGCCTGTAATTAAATGGGCTGCAAGCTGCTTGCTGCACATGTGCATTTCAATGAGGACCAAGGAGAGAGGATTAAATGAGTTTTAAATGTTTAAAACCGTTTGGCCAATTCAAAAATTATAGGTGTCTTAAACCACCTGTAAGTTTGGCCTTTGCACAACTCTCGACATACAAAAAATGTGCCCAAAAGAAATATAGCTGATTTGCATGTTTTTGTGTAGTGTTTTACCTTAGGTGTTGTAGTTATATTACGATAGTAATGTCCTGTGGCCTATTCCTGGAAATGAAAAATGTAAGGTTTAAAAATTATGTTACAAAAATCCAGTATTTCTTTGTTCAAACGAACATGGCAGTTTTTGAGAAGGTTTCCGGATTAACATCCTTAATCATCTAAATACGTAGTTTAACTTTCTGAATGTTTGGGACAAATTGGTAGGTGTCAGCATCAATTTAGGCGTTGACACGGCCTCATCACTGTAAAATCCCGGGTTCGGGACAATTGGGTTACAAATCGGACATACTTACAAATGGGTTACAATAGTTTTGTCTGTTATTCGTTGAACACAGTCGAACCGGATAACTCCACTAGTCAGGCATCAGTTCGCTTTCTTAACTTAAATTTGAATGGTAGACCATTTTGGGCAGTTATTAAAAATCACCTGAGACTTATCACGTTTAATTAATTTCTATGGAGTAAAAGAAAACCCCATAAAAAACCAAGTTAACGTGTGGACTTTTTTCACTTCATTTATTTGTATTTACAACTGTACAGTATTATAGACATCCAGCAGATTGGATTTCAATGTATATTTGTGGCATTACGGGCGTTATGCCATTTTTGGCAGTTATTAAAAATCACATGAGACTTATAACATTTAATTCATTTCTATGGAGTAAAAGAAAACCCCATAAAAAACCAAGTTAACGTTTGGACTTTTTTCACTTTCATTTACAACTGTACGAGTATTATAGACAATCAGCAGATTGGATTTCAATTTATATTTGTGGCATTACTATTCAAATATTATTTGTGGCAGACGCTCTGGATTAATAAAATGTTATTAATCATTTAAGAGGTCGCTTATCCATATCCTTTTCAGATGTTTACGTGGTAATGGTGAAGAATGGAGTAACCGTATTTGTGTGTTGGTGTGATTTCGTAATTTACTATGAAAACGTCTCTAATACATTTTGATGGACGAAAAACTGTTGGCATGTGAAGAAATCTGTGAAGTGTGTTATTATTTTGGATTGAAAACTTCGTAATCTTTGAATATAGGAATATTTGGCCGATTCATAAGCTTGGCACCCTTACATCCAAATAGGTTTGAGTAGGTATGTGTATGTCGAAAGTTTTATTAATGATAAATTTTGATTGTCGTTTGAGCAGGTAATAAAGCATTTTAAATCGTTTGTTGAGTGTGTGTGTTTTTTTAATCGTGTGTATCGAATCCATGTTAGTTTTCTATCTAATATTTGTGCTCAAGTGGTTAGAGGCGTATTGAGCCGAAGGTCGTGGGTTCGAATCCCGCTCGCGACACTAACATTTTCATCTCAACTAATTCCTTACATAAAAAGAATAATTTATTTTAAATATTATTTAACATTATATTCTTTTTTGTTTTGTTTTAGTCCACATGTTTACATTTGGTTGAATCGACTTGGAATCTCGACACATACGATAAAAAAATACAGATACTCAACAAACGATTTAAAATACTTTATCACCTACTCAACCGCCAATAAAAATTACCATTAATAAAACTTTCGACATACACATACCTACTCAAACCTATTTGGATGTAAGGGTGCCAAGCTTATGGATCGGCCAAATATTCCTATATTCAAAGATTACGAAGTTTTCAATCCAAAATAATAACACACTTCACAGATATCTTCACATGCCAACAGTTTTTCATCCATCAAAACGTATTAGAGACGTAGAGATCAAAACTTTGGACATATACCTACTCAAACTTATTTGGATGTACGGGTGCCAAGCTTATATGTATGTGTAACTACGTCGAGTAACATTCTGTTCTGCCTGATAATACAGGCTGCATTTATCATCAACTGTACGGGACTGGAGTGTGTCTAGATGTTTCTCAGGCCTTCGGCAAAGTATGGCATGAGGGATTATTATACAAATTAAAATCATACCTTAAGGAGCGATTTTTCACACTAAACCAGGGAACTTCTGGGATGGAAGAAGTGCCACCAGGCTCCGCTGTTGAACTAAATTTTTACTTCTGATGAGAATGAGACCACAAATGAGAATACACTTACCGCCACATACGCAGATGACTCGCCATATTTACAAGTTATCCCTCTTCTACACAAAGTTAACTATTTAGGACCTCTAGCTCAAGTGGTTAGAGGCGTATTGAGCCGAAGGTCGTGGGTTCGATTCCCGCTCGGGACACTAACTTTTTCGTCTCAACCAAGACCTTACCCGAAAAGAATAATTAATTTAAATAAGTAATTTGGTCAATTAGACCACTAAACATAAATGGATTTAAAATAAAGTAAGAAATTAGCAAGAAATATTAAACAAAATGCATTGAAGTTTTTATTCGTAAATCTTCGAACTCAATTCTAGCCAATCATATCATTTAAGAATTAATTATTAAGAATGTATGGATTGAAAAATTCCAAAGGGATGGGTTGGCTCCGACTCACCGTCAGGCCACAGGTCTCCCTGAACTGTTGACAAGTTTGGGGCGATATACTGCGTCGCGACGTGTGTACCAGAGCCTTCGGGTGTAAAAACGACGTGATATTACTCACGTGTTGAATAGTTCGGGATAGAGAAGAGAGAGGAAAAACGCTGATAACGGTAATCACGCGATCAGCGTATTGGCAAATCGAACACAACCGCGTTTTATGACTCAACTCTGATGGCCGAGCAATCCAAGATCCGTATCCGAACTGATCCGATAGCGCTAAGCAGAAACGATTATTTTGCTTTAAATGCCGACGAGATTTCCGGGAACGCTTTATGAGAACGTGGACATCGAACGACAATATTTTATTGGTTTATCGGTCTAGAATTTTTTTGAATCTCTCCTTCCTAAGCGCCCACACAATCAATGCTAGTATTTCTTCCAGCTTAACGACTGAATTGATGAACAAACATCGTGGAATTTATCCATATCATAATCCAATCATATAATAATTAATATAATGCAATTCATTATGCATTAATCATTTGTTACTATCACAAAAACGCCAATTCTTCAATTTTATTGTATGAATTTGAATAGAAATAGATCGTCTATTCTCTCTGTTCTCTTTACCTTTAAATACACTTTGATATGTTCATATCAATTGTAATCTATTTATTACCCCTAAACAGCTTCATTAATAAAAAACTAACTTTAGTAATGTGATTACTACTACTTATAGATACTTGGATTGTCCATTAGCTCAGCGTAAATACTACTTTGTAGTTTTTCATTCCATATGATGTACTAAACTATAGGTCAATTGATAAGCCCTCAATTATTCCTAAGAGTCAGAAAAAATGATTTAGAACTATCACTCGTTAATAAGAAACAACATGGTATTACTAAGAACAAATCTACACTAACTAATTTTGTGTGGTGTTTAGTGACCGTTAATCGATGATTGTTCGGAGATCGTGAGATGCGGTCTGGTGTGACGTAGGTTTTAGAATAACATTTTCTTCATCGTGCCAACGTTTCGTTCTTTATTGAGATCATCTTCAGGGCTCAAAGTGTTTGTTTTCTGCGTAATGTGCCTTTCTTGTGTGTCGTAGGGCACTCTCAACACGACACACAAGAATGGCACAATTACGAAGAAAAACACTTTGGGCCCAGAAGATGATCTCAATTAAGATCGAAACGTCGCACGATAAAGAAAATGTTATTCTGAAACCTACATCACACCAGACCGCATCTCACGATTTCTGAATAATTATCGATTAACGGTCACTAATCACCACACATTATATATAAATATAATATAGATGATATTTTATTATCCATTATACCGCATGATGTAGTACAGTGCAATGAATGTTTTTTAACTGAAAACTTTTTTTTGTTGAAAAATTTCACATTTTGGCGTTATTTAAAAATTTTGTAATTAAACGTCACACCAGACCCCATCTTACGATATCCGAATAATCATTAACTTTAGTACTGTAATTACTTACAATTAACTATTACTTGCCATACCTACTGATCTTTTTATATTGCATACAGGGTGAGTTTAACTTCTGTCCTCCCCTTCTACTTTTATTGTACGTTCGTTGTTCGGTACGTAAATTTTTATTTTTTATCTAGTTTCTCATGAGCCAAAACATTTTATTCAAAGAGGTAACGTTATACGAACAGGGGTTTATTTCAAATAGTAAGATACTCATCAATGTACATTCTTTTAAAAGATTGTTTTGACGCTGAATTTAACGGTTTTGCCTTTAATTTGAAGTAACCTTTCTCAAGTTATTCGCAAAAACTATTTTTTCGAAAAACTTGAAAACAGTCTTCTTTCTTCTCTGGCCGACTAAGTAAAAGTAGGTAACAAAAACGAAATATGTACATATCTAACTAAATTAAAACGTGTCGTTGCCACTCATTGACCGTGCGGGTATTGAAATAGTACTCGGGCAGGAAAGGTTTTGCGCAAGGTAATCGTTGCTGGATTTCACAAAAAGTGCCGTTTTACAAGGTGGACAAAAAATGAAATGTCAGCAACTATACTGTCCCAGAACTAGACATCATCATGCGCTCACGGTTATCCGATTATGTTGTGCACTGACGTCTTATATATAAATTATTTGTCTGTTTTAATGATTATAAGGTTCTTTCAGTCATAACTATTGTAAAACACCAATTATCTTTTTATGTCAGGTCTTGGTTGAAATTAAAACGGGATTCGAACCCACGACACTCACTCATGATACTGTCTATTTCATCTCAGCCAAGGCCTTACATAAAAAGAATAATAAAAAGAATAATTTATAGAAATAATTAATATGGTCAATTAGACTACTAAACATAAATGGATTAAAACATCAATTTTGCCTGCAAAAATTAACTCGAGTATTACAGAATGTTCCTTACAAAGGAAAAGTGGTATTCAAATGTTAGATCTTGTATTACTTAAAAATAAACGATAGAGGTAATCAATTGGATGATTACAAATCGCAGAAAATAACGTCAAAGTACAACAGATTTGACATTCAGACCGTTAGCCATATCAGAATTTGTACAGTCACCAGTATTCTTCCATGATGACGAATGCGCCTCAGATCATTTATTTATTTTAGTGACCGGGGTGTTTGGTGAAAAAAAAATCTCGGTCCAACATTTATTTATTCATCATATCACTTCATTAATATATTTTTAAAATCTAAATTAAATCTTACTTAGACGATTTTCTATTTATCCCCGTCCTCAGGACTTCCGTCTTCTTTATTATTTGGAAACGCATTTATGTGGCACTCGTTCCTTCTTGTACAATTGTCTTAAAACCGGGAACACACCCGATCCAACGCCATGCGACGCTACTTGAGCCTTGCCACGTTTTGGTAGGGTATGCACATCTATGCGAAGTGAAGCGCACGTCACGTACAGTCACACAGCGTGTATCACAATAATCACTATCACAATCGCAACGCCTCTTTTGTTCTTAATGCAATATTTTGAGCAAAATCTTGTAATAAACTGTTAGTTAAATTTTATAAATACAACCATGTAATAAATTGTTTGTTAAACTTAATTGTTTTAAATAAAGTTATTCCGGTGTTTTGATAAATTTTCTGCCTAACCATCATAATAAAAATAATTTTTATAAAAACTCATAAATTTTTGATCTTGTTTAATTTTGTTTATATTAAAATAAGAATGTTGTAATTAATATAACGACAAAATTACATATACATAGTTGGAAATAAACTACCAAATATATGAGTGTCCTGTTCTGACGCTACTTGACGAAAATTGTATAATTATATGAAAGAAACCATGAAATAAATTGTTAGTTAATTATTCGGAAATCGTGAGATGCGGTCTGTTGTGATGTGATGTAGGTTTCAGAAAAACATTTTCTTTATCGTGCCAACGTTTCGATCCTTATTGAGATCATCTTCAGGGCCTGGGATTTACAAACATTGTTTACATTTAACAAATACTTTTAGGATGTGGAAAAGTGAATTTATACAATGCAAAATGTATTTTTTATATTCAATGAATGTATTTCTACTCACTCAAAGTGTTTGTCTTCTGTGTAATTGTGCCATTCTTGCGTGTCGTGTTGAGAGTGCCAGTGAGATTTCATGGTTTTTTATACGTTAGATTTTGAAGGGGTGGGGAAGGAAGTCGGCATAGAAAAAAGACATTTTTGCATTATTTTCGACTGTCACTGGGCATCAACCCTGTACTTCACGTACCATAGTAAAATAAAAATACAATATAATCTCAAGCTCCTCGTCGAAATTAACTCAACTAATCCACAACTCGAATAAAACAAATAATGATTATTCAGAAATCGTGAGATGGGGTCTGGTGTGATGTAGGTTTCAGAAAAACATTTTCTTTATCGTGCTAACGTTTCGATCTTTATTGAGATCATCTTCAGGGCCTGGGATTTACAATGTATACTTTGATACAATACGTTGATTGAATATAAAAAATATATTTTGCATTGTATAAATTCACTTTTCCACATCCTAAATGTATTTGTTAAATGTAAGCAATGCTTGTAAATCCCAGGCCCTGAAGATGATCTCAATAAAGATCGAGACGTTGGCACGACAAAGAAAATGTTTTTCTGAAACCTACATCACACCCGCCGCATCACACGATTCCTGAATAATTATCGATTAACGGTCACTAATCACCACAGATTGTTAATTAAATTCATTTTATCAATAAATCGTATTCCGGTGTTTTGACCAATTTTCGGCCAAATCATTAGAATTAATTTTTTAATGTAATGAATTTTTGATCTCTCTTAATTAGATTTATATTAACATAGGTATGTTGTAGTTAATATAACATCAATAATAAATGTAGTTTGAATAAAAGTGTTCGTCTGTACTCGATGCGACTCGACGAAAATCTGGACAGTGGGGATCGCAGAGCGTAGAGTCGCATCGGGCAGATGTGCACGGGGGTAATACAATCTTATGGAAAAATGGATTTTGGATTTGCGTCGGGTAGCATAGGATAGCAGGCTTCTTTACATAGGCGTTCAACAAATTCAAATCTTGTCCTGTATGAACAATTTATACTGAATTGTCTGGAATAAGGGAATTTACGAGTAGACACAATTTATTTAATCACACAATCGATTGAAACTGCATCCTATCTTCTTTCTAACTAATATAAAATTCGTTCTAACAATTTAAAAAAACCACATGTTTTTGGTATAGTTTGAAGTATTTGAAATAAATTCACTAATTTCGTGGTCCGCTTGACCAATTAATATATTACAAATAATTAAGTTAAACCTTGAGATACTATGGAAGAAGCAATGAAATTGTCACAAAGATATGCGCCTAATAGTTAAACAAGTTTATTTCAAATTACAATTAGTTAAGGTTTTTAGTCGAGATAAAAAAGTCAATGGCACGAGGATTCGAACCCAATCTTCGGCTTGATACGCCGCTGCTCTACCACTTGAGCTATCGTCACTTCGATCCACTCGAACACTAACTTCCCATCTCAACCCCACCTTTTGAATTTGCCCACCTTTCGAAAGTTGGTGTCCGAGTGGATCGAGGTTACGATAGCTCAAGTGGTAGAGCAGCGCGTATCAAGCCGAAGATCGTGGGTTCGAATCCCGCTCGTGCCATTGACTTTTTTATCTCGACTAAAAACCTTAATTCATTGTAATTTGAAATAAACTGTTTAACTATTAGGCGCATGTTTTTCTGACAATTTCATTGCTTCTTCCATAGTTTCTCAAGGTTCATACCTAGGTACCTTGTTGTTTAAAAAAAATATAATTGATGTATAAATTTACCAGAGCTTATTTTTTCCAACAAACACTTTTGTTAGAACAACGAGACCAGTCGTTTTATAGATGATTTATATTATAAACCTTCTTTAATTCTAACTTCCATCAAACGGCCATTGCAATTTATTAAAGAGAGATGTTATTACAGCTGGCATAAAATAAAAGAAATCAAACAAATAATAGCCCAA